ATTCAGTGTTAATAATGGAAACTGAAGCACATAGGGGCTAAAAGTAACATGTGGTCCTGGGTTACTCAGGTAGAGACAGAGTCCTAACTCCTAGTCCTGCTCTTTTCCTTTAACCTCATAAAGTGGTAAGACATTGGCTAAAACAAGCTGTGTGGATTTTTTTGACCTTCATATTCAGTATCATTTCATTAATCATGAGGGTTAGTTAAAACAAACCCTTTTTAAAAAATTCTTATTTATTAATTTTTGAGAGAGAGAAAGAGAAAGGGAAACATCAATTTGTTGTTCCACTTATTTATGCATCCATTGTGCCCTGACTGGAGATCAAACCTACAACCTTGGCATATCAAGGTGATGCTCTAACCAGCTGAACTGCCCAGCCAGGGCTAAAACTGACCATTTTATTTAAGAGATCTTAAATCATCTGTAAGTGGGTGAGATGCTTACATTGTGAGAGACCCTAAAGAATCAAGATGAAGGGGGCAGCAGATTCCTATGTCCTTTGTCATACCCCTTGTGCATACGTTCTATCAATAGAATTGGTGTCAGAAGCACCTGTATTTGACACTCTCAGCCCCTTCTTCCCTCAGGCTCTTATTAAAATGTGGATTGATCAAATATACATATGATGTCATTCCACTGCACTCACGTTAGTCTTTTTGGAGTGTCAGTGGCTGATTGTAAAAGAATGCTCTATTTAGGAAGTGTGGCTGTTGGGGCAGTTAATGGGAATATATGGGTGCCTGTTAACAGTTCTATTTGGAGTTTATTATGGTGTATCTAGGAAGGGTTTCTGGGGGAAAAAAGGGGGCTTTTAGAAAAGTGTTAATGATGGACACTGAGGCACATGGGGGCTATATGATATACGGCAGATTTTCAGCAACAAGAGTTCCCTTCTGTCTTTCCCTTTGGCCATTCTTTTAGATTTGGGTTGATTTGCTTGAACCAAACTTCCCAGAGGAATATGAAAATTATTGAATTTGTGAATGTAAGTTTAGATTTAGGTGAGTGTTAAAAGTAGAGGGGTTCTTACAAATTGAAAATTTCTATGTAGTTATCTGAAAACCTTAAGAAGGAAGATCCTTTTAAAATTTATGTCACACAGGAAACCATTAGGAAATCACCTTAATTTATTCACCATCCCATCATCAATAGGTATTTGGGTACCACAAGGTACATACCACTGTCTAGAAACTTGAAAATAAATGAACATGTGGTCATGGTTTTAGAGATGACAGAGCGCCTCTGCTCATTATGTCTGAATCTTTACGACAACCCTGTCAGATAGAGTCCCTTCACGCCTTAATGATTTTTCTGTGTTGAGATTGAATTTAATTCATTATCTCCATTTTACAAATAAAACCCAAGCTTCCAAGAGATTGACTACTTCACTCTGGACTGTATGGCTGTGGGAGAGGCAGGTTTGGAATTCAGATCAGTTTGAGCCTCAGTGTCATGCTCTTCCCTCAGCCCCCAATTCTGTATTGTTCTTTATTTACTGAAGTGAAAGTTAACTCCCTTGCTCAAAGGAGCAGTGAGGAGGTGAGGGCATGAGCTCTACAAGCACAGGTATTCTATGCGTAATTCATGTAATTAGAACTTAGTGTTGGGAATAAGCGGATAATTCTTGCTATGTATTCAGAAACCAGGTAGGTTGGGTGGTAGTTAATCAATGCCACACACTTTCAGGACACTCCCAATGTGCAGCTGATACTGTGAGCCACTAGATACAAGGACAGTTTCCAGGATGAGGTGGATTTTGAGCTGGGCTGGAAGAGACCTGAGGGGTGGAATGCCAGAATGGTTATTTCGGTATCTAGTATGGGGAGCTTTTCTCAGCCAGCCCCAGTCTTATGATTGGAAACTTTCTGCCCATACAGGGCCTCATCTTACAGTTGGGTTGTAAAACCAAGGGCCTTTGTAACTCTGTGGATTATGTATCTGGCCCTTGTCCAGAGTAGGTAATTCCATCTTGCTGAGCTCCAGTTGACCATATTGCAAGAGCCTGGACACAGAGTTCTTCCCTTTGCTGTAAATGAATAAAAACATGTGAGCATTTAGAACAGTGCCTGTGCTCACTAAGTGGTTAGATCTGCATTCCCCAAACAACCAAGGGCATGTGACTTGCAGCTCCAGGGGTAACTTCAAGGGGTTGTCTGCAGGACTTTGCCATCTGTCCTTAAGGCAGCACCTCTTGCTGAGTAGTTCTACTAGCAGCAACTTTTTTCTCATGTTGAGCCAGAATCATCTTAGAACTTCTACAGAATGGGTCAGTACCCTCCCCATGTGTTAGATAGCTCTTCAGAGGATGTTCAGCATCTAAGAACACTAAGCATGACAGTTATGATTCAAAAAGATCTTACCAGCTTTGAGCTGTGAGTTTAGGCTAAAATAATGGAATTTAATATGAATAAATACAATCTCCTGCTTTTAGTTCTTAAACCAGTAGTACTAGAGAAGAGAATTCAGGAATAGCATTTGGAGTGTGGGAACTTAGAGGTTTTATGGATCATAGTCAATTTCTGAGTGTCATTTATTGAGGGCTCTAGACAAACTGAGTTGTGTTCATTGGGGGCAGAGCCAGGTGTGATGTGAATTTTGTCTAGTCTAGGACACAATCAGGAACCCAGGGGCTGCTCCGGTCTTATATAGAAGGGAGGGAGACTTGCTTCTGCAAGGGATGGGTTAGTCCAGAAGTTAACCCAGGCATGGGTTTTAGCCTCATAGATGGAAGAATTTCAACATGTCAGTGGAAAGGAGGTGATTTGGGGAGGTAGTGGGTTCCTTGTTATTGGTGATGTTCAAGTGTAGACTGTGTGACAAGTTGAGAAGTGTTAGAAGGGACTTCAAACATTGGGTTGGGGGTTGTCAGTGTGTTCTGGTCTGAAGATTCTGAGGTGCTCAGTTATATGGTAATGTTCTCTTTATGCAAGTAAGTCACCCTCGCACCCACCCCATCCCCTTTATCTGCCTTCACTGTCCTGGATTCCCTTCCTCTACTATGGTGGTTGCATGCTGGGTACATCCACTGTTTACCTTAAAATGTAGCTCTCTGGAGTGAATTCATACTGCTCTGAGCTGGCCGGAGCTCAAGGACTGGCCTGTGTTTTTGTATGTCTGTTGTTTTGTTTTTGTTTGTTTTGTTTTTGGGGGGTGAAGTAGAGGGGGAGATAGTGGACTAGCCACTGCTCAAAGCGTTCACTCGTATTCTCATAATTTCTCCAATAAACTGTTTTGGAGCTAGAACAGACTCTAGGGGAGCATACAGCTCAGCTTGAATTTTATAAGACTCTTAGATTCCAACAAAAAATGTAATAATTTGAGAATTCAAAAGGCTCATACTGCAGGCATTGAAGAGTTCATCTGGGGGTCAATCACAAAACCCTTTCTTGTGGCATAATTTATACCTCAACATTTGGCAGTTTTTAAAGTCCTATGTCAGTGTACATGTGTTGGTAAAAAGTAGTAAATATTTTGCTGACAAGTCCTTTGAATGATGGATCTGTGGCAACATTTAAAGGCAGACAACCTGGGGGTTTCTTTTATCCAGGTGCTGCCAAATCCAAAAAGCTGTCGGAGTACAAAGCCAAAATCACCCACTAGTTATACCATTAATTGTGTAATGTTCATGTGCCTCAGACTTTTTGCACCTGGGATCTGTTGATATCTACCAGTGGGGGAGGGCAGGGGAAAGGGATGCAGTCGGGAGGGAGAAGGAAAGAAGACAGGCTGCTTGCTCTCAGGTGACTGCCCTGGAGCACCGAGCAGTCCCTGGTGCCGCCAGCGCCTGCCCCGCTCCTGACTGCCTCTGCTCTAATGCTGCACGGGCTCGGTGGCGCAGAAGGCGGGGAATGGTGGTCCCATGAAGCTCTCTGCACTAAGGCCCTGTGCCGACCTTCTTTGATTTGTCCCCAGGAGCAATTCACTCCTTTTTGGGGAAGCCTTTGAATTAATGATCTGATGCCTTTTCAACAAAGGAATATTGATATGTTAGTGTGTGGACAGCAGGGGGTACTGGATTAGATCATTTTCACATTGGTGTTTGTGCCAGTTTGACATTTGTTTGGAAGGCTTATCCCTTTAAGACCATAGGTTTCATGCATAATTTAAGGAGAATAAATCTTGGAGAAAGATTTCTTTTAGTTCCGTAATCTTCAGTGCTACAGAGAAATAAATGAAAGTCCCTTCATGTTTTCTTATGATCAGGGATTCCGAGTAGGCTACCAGATAAAGTGCCCATAGAGGTGTAAAATATTTCTTTCGGTAAATGTGCTGGCCACTTTCAGCAGTTGCAGGAAAGGCAGGAATGTGGACAACTTTGTCCATGCTTCAAGGTTACCATCCAGGAGCTGAGAGTGGCCAAGCGACCTGACTATGCAGGATCAAAGTCCCACAGAGAAATGCTATGGACTAGCAGGTCTAGGTCGGCTGTCATTGCTGTCTTAGCAGAGTGAGTATTTGCGATAACAGAATAATCTTCCTTCTTCCATCCTGTCACCATTTTGCATCTTGGTGATCTCAGTGACAATATTAGGATGGTTTAACTTTCAGAGTTATTATGCCAGTTGCCACAGTAAGGGCACACATCCTTTTTTTTTTTTTAAACTTTATTTTCTTTTAGACAAAATTGTTCTTCTGTGGAGATTTGATTATCATTGAGCTAAGTGCTCCTGGTAGATAGTAGGCATTTAGTAAATGATTTTGTCTGAAATGATTTTGGTTCACTATGAACTTGCAACTCAGAGTGAATACTGTTCTTGGATGAAAACTTCCTCTCATCTGCGAAGATTATACAGCTTCTGCCGTTACATTTCTGTATTGAGTGCCTGTAACATGAATACATAAAGAAAAAAAGCCACGCGGATCTCAAAATTACATATTCTCTATGAGAAGTTATTCTCCAAGCAAAGCTGCCAAATGAATGTGCAGTGAAGCTAGCAAGAGCACTATGTTGGTGGTTACCTCGTCCTTATCACACTATCTTTTGATTTCTCTCTTAGGTTTATTTTCTTGAAAAGGCTCCAGGCCTCGGCTTGGAAAATCCAACCGCCAAAATTGAGCCCAGCAGCTGGAGCGGCAGCGAGAGCCCTGCCGAAAACATGGAAAGGATGAGTGACTCTGCAGATAAGCCCATTGACAATGATGCTGAAGGGGTCTGGAGTCCTGACATTGAGCAGAGCTTTCAGGAAGCCTTGGCTATCTATCCACCCTGTGGAAGGAGGAAAATCATCTTATCAGACGAAGGCAAGATGTATGGTAAGTGGTGTGGTATGCTCCTTCGAAACACTGCAACCTGCTTCTGCAGTAAAGGATCATTGTAGCTAGCCTTTTTCTTAGATCTGTTCATTATATTGTGTTGAATGATCTTTGAAGAATTTTAGTTGGCCATCCAAGGGACTAAATCTCAACTACAGAGGAGAATCAATAAAGGACGCTTGGGAAATTGTTCCCTGGGGGTTTCTTCTTCTTCTCCAAGCTCAGTGGCATAGCTAAAGCTCTCAGGGTCCAGGTAGAAACATAGTTGCAATGGCATTTGCAAACACCAGTTTGGGGACTGGTTGGTTCTTCAGAATGCACGCCCAGTCGAAAAGAAGCATGGCTGCTTAGCTCCAGATAACTGAAATAGGGGTCTGGTGCTGCCAGATCTCTTATTATTATTATTATTTTTTTTTTTTTCAGGAAGAGCTAGCAATCTAGATGTTTGCATAGCGAATCTCATTTTTAAAAGTCAGCACTTTTCTCTCCTCCTTCTTTTGTTTTTTTTTAAATATAACCCTGTATAAGCTAGATAGAATATGGGTATGGCTTAATCAGACCCTTAAACCACCAGTTTGCTGCTTTGTTGCCAGTTTGCAGTTGAATGGCAGTCAAGGCATTAACTCCTCCTCCCAGGCTATTCTCACCCATCTGCCCTTCTAGATGGGGATGCCAGACAGTGTGTTCTGAAGGAAACTCTGTGAGTGTCCAAGAGGGCAAGACTGGTTGAGCAGATGGCTTGGGATGCCGAAGTCTGGAGTTTGTGCGCTAGGTTTGGGCATTTCCCACTTCTTCAAATAAGGCTTCCAGCTGCAGACCTCTACTTTTTGGCTGCTTACCTTTTAGGAAGCAGATGGCAGGTGGTTGCTTGTACATTCTGCTTGTCTAATTGGGTACATTGAGTTGACACAGTTTGCACTATAGCTGTGTGTAAAGAGATACAAACAAATAACCTAAACTCAAAGAGAACCGGCTTAGCGACCTTACCAGAGGCTGTTAACCTATCACAAGTGTGATTTATTTTTAAATAATTTGAAAGCTTGTTCATAATAGGGTGTTGTACCTTTAATATTATGCCTCCTCTATCAGGAGCCATAGGAGGCTGGAGCTCAAACTAGCACAAACTACTAAGGAGAAAGCAGATGGTGGTGCAGCTGCCACCAGCTGTGCCCCCTCCCTTCCCTCCCCCTCTCCAACTTGGATGATGTAATGGAAACAAGGAAAATTTTGCTTTCTGCAGCACTGGAGTCTCTAAGCCTGTCTGTGTCACACACATGGGGGAGAGAGAGAACCCAAACCTTCAGCATTTGTTTTATGCTCTCATGTGATCCATTGTAGCCAGAGAAGTTTCTTTGGGTCTGCTGAAATGGTCAGGATGAAACATCTCAGCTGCTGTGGGTAGAAAGTTTCAGGGCCTTTAATTTTCTGTGTGTTTGTGTCTTTCCCGGGCTACTTGTCCTCAGCCTGTATTTGCTTTCAGGGCCTTGTCTTTATGCCTAAAAATGTAACATCCCCATTTTGAAGGCAGAGAAAAGCACTTTAATCTTCGAGCCTTCTTTGAAACCGATTTGACTGCAAGTAGTGAGGGCAGCTTCAGGCCACCTTACCTTGTACGGCTCCCATTTGTTTACCCAGAAATGGTTGTAACCTAAAACACTGGACTAGTATTGGAAACCCTGGGGGAGAATAACTACTTTATTTCTCGCAGGGAATACTGGGACAGGTATTGCCCCTTTAGCTTTCCGGGCTGAGGACATTATTCAGAGGAAAAGTTAATCTTTTCAACTTCAGTTTTGTTTTCTCCCTTGAATGTATTTTTTAGGTAGTAGCCATGGTACATGTAACCAATTTGCCGATAACTTCATCATAAATATAATTTTTTGGTAAGAAAATAACTGTAAGAGCTTTTGTTGGTAATTGGATGTCAGAGGCAGCTGGCTAGGAAGTAGAACTGTGAGAAGCTTTGGATTTAAGTCATCTACCAGGAGTGAACTTGAACAATTCTCCCTTTGGTTTGTGTCTCAGTTTTTTCCCCTGTAAAAAAAGAGGGTGAAGTAGATGATGCCCACAGGGCCTTGGGACTTTTCCATTTTATGATGATGTGATTTTCTGACTTACGCCCCAGTAAGAGTGACCGGTTCCTTGACAAACGTGGTGCTAGTTGTGGGAGCATGTCTTTAATACCCACGGTCATCAGATTCTGAGAGCTCCTTGACAATACATGCTCTTGATGGATAGTTCCTTTTTTCCCTTAAATCAGCCTTACATTTACTGACTCTGTCAGTGACCAACCTGATTTAAAAAGGGAGCCATCTTTCTGAGCAAGAAGCATTAGGAATTATAGCTGCAGGGCCGTGTGTCCTGGTGTTGGGATGCAGGAGATGCACTTGCTACAGTGACCCTACAGCCACCTGATTCCATGCAGCTGCCCTGGAGGGAAAATATCCCCCTTGAACTTCCTCTCGATACAGAAGAGCTTTGCTTCTACTATTACTTTGGAAGGAAATATGGTAGTTTGCTGGACCATGGAAAATGGAGACTGGACCCCTTAAGAGGACCGGCCTCAGGTGCCCTGGAGCTGCCTGTGACCTGCTTGTGACTTTGAGGATGAGAAAAGGTTGAGTTGGGAGCCTCCACAATGAGGCCCCAGCCACTTGAGGATTGAGTCATGTGAGCAGTGTGGGCCAGAGCTACTGTTCCTTGGCTTGCGGCCTGTTCCCCATCTTACCATAAGTGAATCAGGACACAAACCAGACCAGGAGTCGAGGTTTCTTAAGGTCCAGAGTGCATACTTTCTCTCTTAAGCATTTTGAAAATGAAAACATTGAAAGTATTTTGGATTCCATGGAGTAAAATCAAAATAATTGAATGCCTTTTAGTGAAATACCAAGTGTTTTTGACTTGAGGGGGTTATTTTGATATTTCTGAGCATTTGTAGAGTGTATTGTGACGTCACTAATCCTGAGCTACGGGAGAAGCAAGGTCAAGTGCAGCACTGATTTATTTTGGTAATGAAATTTCTTCTGTGGTTGGCAGTAGGACAAATGCAATCTTATATTGGAGAAAAGGAGAACGCTCTCTTTATGATGAGGTTTGGGCCATCAGAGGAGGTGGCTTACTTCCTTCACTCTTCCCTGGTTCTTTAGGGAAGCTGAGACTATGTGGTTGGTCTCCATGTGGACAGATTACTTCTGTCTTGGGCACCAAATGTGTAGACAGTTGTTCTTAGGGATAATTAGAAGGAAGATGAGACCTCTTTGACTTTGTCCCTGAGAGCTTGCGTACTCATTCTCTTTCTCTGTGATTTCGTTTTCTTTAAAAAATTTTTTTATTATATTTATTGGAGTGACACTGGTTAATAAAATTATAGGTTTCAATTATAGCTTTCTATGATATATCATTTGTATATATATAGTATTGTGTGTTCACCACCCAAAGTCAAGTCTCTTTCTGTCACCATTTAATTTATTCCCCCTTTACCCTCTTCTACCTCCTCCTACCCCCCTTTCCTTCTGGTAATGACCATGCTGTTGTCTGTATCCGTGAGTTTTTTTCACTTTTCTTTCTTTCTTTTTTTTTGTTTAATCCTTTCATCTTTTTAACCCAGCCCCCGTGTTCTCTCGCCTCTAAAAATTATCAGCCTGTTCTCTGTGTCCATGAGTCTATTTCTATTTTATTTGTTTATTTTTCTTTTTCATTAGATCCCACATGTAAGTGAAATCATGTGGTATTTGTCTCTCTCTGATTGGCTTATTTAACTTACTCTAATATTCTCCAGGTCCATTCATGCTGTCGCAAAAGGTAAGATTTTATTCTTTTTGATGGCTGAGTGATACTCCATTGTGTAAATGTACCACAGCCTTTTTATCTACTTATCTACTGAGGGGCACTTGGGCTGCTTCCAAATCTTGGCTCTGGTAAATAATGCTGCAATGAACATAGGGGTACTTATATTCTTTCGAATTAGTGTTTTGAGTTTCTTCAGATATATTCCCAGAAGTTGAATTGCTGGGTCATAAGGCAGTTCCTTTTCTAATTTTTTGAGGTAACTCCATACTGCTTTCCACAGGGGCTGCACTAGTCTGCATTCCCAACAGTACACTGGGACCAGGGTTCCCTTTTCTCTACATCCTCACCAACACTTGTTTGTTGATTTATATTGCTCATAACCATTCTGACAGGCATGAAGTGATATCTCATTGTGGTTTTAATTTGCCTTGCTCTGATGATTAGTGACATTGAGCATTTTTTCATATGTCTATTGGCCATCTGTGTGTCCTCTTTGGAGAAGTGTCTGTTAAGGTCCTTGGCCCATTTTTAAGTTGGATTGCTTATTCTTTTGGTGTTGATCTGTATATTTCATTTTCCTGTTTTACACAGCTGTGTATCTCTCTTTCTGGTAGAGAGTTGTAGAGGAGGACAAGATGGGAGAGAAGTTCCTGATCAGCAGTTGTTTAGAATTGCATTTCACAAAAGCAGACCTTAGTTTAAAGCAAGACAGAACAAAATAGCAAATCATGGGAATGGCTGGGTGTGGTCTGTGGCAGCTGAAATCCTTAGTCTGGCTATGTAGTCATGTATCTCCCATAATCAAACCAGGGTAGGGACAGGAGCTAACACTCATTGATTGCTTCCTTTACAGACAGAAAAGCATAGCATTTCAAATCTCGGATTTTGAATTTGATGTGAACCCTAGCCCTGCCAATTTGTTGATATCAGACTTTGGGCAAGCTGCTTTTCTTTTGTGGGCCTCCATTTTCTCAGTTGCAAAATTAATTTAAATAGATTCTATTTCCATGGATTATTATAAGAATTAAAACTAATTGTGATCTAGAATCTCCCCTACCATGTTTGAACAGTGTCTGGTGTACAGCGAGAGCTATAACAGTGTTTATGAACTAAAAGCAAGTGTTCTCTGCCAGTTGCTGGATTACATATAATTTTTGTCTAATGCTCCCAACACCATTCTGAAGTGGGTATCACGATTTTCACCGTGTAGA